CATAGACGCCTGCTCGATTAGTGTAAAGGTTGAACCCGGGTAACCCGTGGATATAACGGATATCCGGTTAGGATATTTGGGTAGCTTCAAGAACAGTGAACCCAGTGATCATTAAATCACGTGATAAATCTTTCGGCCTAAGTTAAGGTTAGTGTTGGGGTTAATGTTAGGGTTAGGTGATAGTTAGTTTAGGCCGATTTTGTTAGTGCTAGTAAACAAATGACGTAATTACATGATTTCAGGAAATGTGAAGTGTCCCGGATATTTGTTACCCGGGTAAATTAACCAGGTAATTACCTGAGCAACAACAAAAGAACAAAGGAAATTGTATTTTTCAAAATAAAAGAATTAGAAATAAATTTTAGATATCTTTTAAAATAAAAAACTATAATTAATTGGCATAAATTACTTTGAATGGTTAATACACCACCAACCCGGCATATGTTCTTCTTGATTGATCGCATAACAATGATCCTAACACTGATTAAATTAATTACATGCATAGGTTACACATTACCCGTGATCTACCCGGATATATACGGAGAACCAAGAAATCTAACCGACAGTTAACCCAGGTAAGGTTATTATTATGTAAAGTCAGCGGTCAAAAATAAATTTGAAGACAATAATACAAGTTTGGGAGATCAAATTGAAGAACCAATGGTGCAGTCATGACAGTACTAAAGGGGATGTAGGTAAGAAGAGGGGTAGTATTTTGTGACTATGGAACATACCAGACAAAATACAGAAATATGGGGAAATTATTTACAGTAAAGTTTTTAGTGAGTATAACTAGTATATTGAAATAAGTTATTGATTCATAGCGTTTATTGTGCTATCGCATTATAATATTCATTTTATTTTTATATCAATGTGTCTAAATAGGCATTTGAACATGGTAGTTTGAATTTAACTTAGCAAAAGTGAACGTAATACGTATTAGTTTCGTACGACATCACATTAGTGCAGCTATTTTTATAAAAATTATATATAGATTATAAGATATTGGTATAAACCAACTTCAGCGATGATAATTTCGGTACAACTATATTTGATGATAAATTTGGTCCAATTTAGGTTAGAATTGACCTGTTTAATTATTAATCCTGGCACATCTAATTAAAACACAATATATTTCGCTGGTTTCGATTTAGTTGGATCTACGGTCTACATAATTTTTTAAGTCCCGTGAGTCCGTGAATACAGCAGAGATATTTGTCGTATTTTGTAGTGACTCTGACTCCCTTATTATAATCAACAGACTCTCAGGACTCAAAAAAAAAAAAAAAAATGCAGATCGTCGATCCAACTAAGTCGAAAAATAGCTATTCTCTAATTCATGAGCATATCCTTATTGATTTTATTTTTAGTTATTTAATTGATTTGATTTTGGTCTTAATAAATTTATTTGAATTAGTTGCAACTCGTAATTAGGATCATTTACAACTTTTGAACAGAATCAATTGCAACTAGAGTTGGTGGTGCAGGATGCTTGGCGACTCCAATGGTGGTGCACCAGCTGGTACGCCAACGCAGGTATGGTGTAGAGGTTGCGACCATTCCTGGTACAGTCGCACCCTCTAAAAGCACGCCTTCGAGACCATAGTAAAAAAAAAAGGCAAAATGCGCACTTAGAGAGTGTACATTTAGAGGGGCTAAAATTTATAATCGTTGTATTATTTGGGACCAAAATGGGTGTGAACTTAGAGGAGTTTTTCATATATCGCGCACTGAGTGAGTGGTGCGCACTCAGGGAGCGATTGTATTCGTTTACTCTTTTCTATCGATTAATTGCCAATTAGATTGGCTAAATATTTTACAGTAGACATTTACTGGGACAAACTGAGTAAATTTCCGCGGATGGAAAATTAAAGTTTTTGCTCGTCCAAATTTAGGAAGTCATTCAATTAATGGTCACTGGGTTTTATGCGAAAGCAGCTTGTGATAATGAAATAGGAAATAAAACTAACGAGTTAAGAGCATTAGAGTCTACAAATTTTTACTTTGTATTACGATGATACTATGGTGAATTATACTTTTTCTTATGCAATAAATCAATTCATGCAATGCGATGTTATTTTTTTTATTTTTGTTTGTTTACATAATCTTAGCTATACATATTCTAATTTTTTTTTAACACACAAACTATCATATGAACTGGTTAATTTTATGAAAAATCTTTTTTTTTTATTTTTTATTTTTTTTTTGTAATGAACTGAAAATTTGGTAGTTATCGATAAGATTACTATTTAAAAAAAAAAAATGAAGGAAGCTCGTTGAAAGAGTCGAATGGAAATTTTAATATTTTATTAGTTGAAGGAATCCTTCTTCAAGAGTTTCGTTAATTCGTCAAGGGTTTTGTATAATAATTGGACATCAGTAATAAAGTTTGAGATAAATACTACTATATGAGGATTATTTTATTAATTTCATACATATTTTTGCCAAGCAAAAGTATAAATTATTATCGTGCAGTATAAAAGCGGTTAATATAATTAACTCCGAAATTCTGTCTTAACATAAAAATCTACACCGAAATTCTGTCTTGACATACAGATAAGTTGATGTCATCTTGTTGGGCAAATATTTGTTGGTTTCTAATATTATCTATTTGGTGAAAATATTTACTTGATGAATATTTAACCGTAATACCGAATGCCGACTACTTTTAAAATTAATTGTTTTTTTTTTAGTCTATAGGAAATATAGACCTTAATAGTATTTTTAAATTTGATAAGGACGGAGATACATATTTGCAGCAGGCAACCTTGTTCTCCTAATCGATAGTCCAAAATAAATTTGATTAAGTTGACCTTATAGTCTTCCGGCACATCATTTTAAGTTTTAAATGCTTATAAATTAATTCTTACTTACTGCTATTAAGTGGACCCCTTTATTATCTTATTCTAACATCATCATCATTCGACCCCTGAAAACGTAATAATACATGAAAGCTGACAAATAAAAATCTGTAAGACTAAATTAAACTCTACATACGTACGTACGTACTTGATCAACCCCTGAATATTAAATTGATGTATTTACATATTTAGAAATATAGTAATTTGACGCTAAATATATGACTATAAAGTAATACCATATTTTGATCAGAAAGTATTTTGATCAAAAAGTCATTTTTGATTAGAGAATGTATAGTAAACTAGTACAGTACGAAACGCAAGACATGTGGAAATCATAATACTGCGTATCGGTTTATAGAAAAAAAAATTTTCAAGTAACTATTTTTTTCATAACCTGTCCTTACCACAACTCGAAAAAGGGCAACACCTAACCATAAACATCAAAAAAGGGTTGCTTATAAAATTGAATTTTACAAGACTATACTAATCATTCGTATTATCAAAAAAACTTAACAGTTAATATAATTTTAGTACGCATATCCTATTGGCGATTGTATAGGTTTAATAATTTGATCAAATTCTTCAGGGTCGTACATACCTCCACAAATAACTTTCCAGATGTTTAATAACGTCGTATGATGAATATAAATTGATATACATCATAATATATATTAGTTATATATTATATATATCTTACATGTAATACTAATGTTACGCATTGTATTGTACAACAAATTCTATTTATAAAAAAAATGTTAACCCATTAATATCTAGGTTCTCAAGTAGGATAGTTTTAATGTTACTGTTTTAAAGATTATAGGAACGTTCAAGTGATTACTATTTTCTTGGTTAGTTTTAAGCCATCCCTTAAATTTTACTAGTTTATGATGTTCAGGATTATATTTGGTGGTAAATAAAGGTCATATTTGTTAAGTAAAAGTTGGTATTAATGCTTGCTAATAAAAAAATAAAATAAAATAAAAAAAAAATAAAATAAAAAAAAGCGAATACCGTAAAATTTACTATTTTTAGAATATCTTTTATAACGTTTTTTAAGATATGAGTTGTTGATTTTCATTCAACCAATTACGTAGATTATCGCAGTTCATTGCCTTTCATTATCTATATTGCACACTTATTTACAGTAAATATGTTCTATACCATAAAAATGCTTAGTAGTAAATATTTCAACAAGAGTCTTATCAATTATGTATGCTATTTGACAATCCTCAAAAATTTTAATCGAATTTATTAAAAAATTAATTGAGGCGTCCGGAGTATACGGAACGTTCAATGCATTTAGTGGTATTTTAATGGTGAACAAGTTCTCTTTTTCATTATATTATTATAATCTACATGTTAAAATCTCTGGGATTATACGAACACAATCTTTAAGCTGTAACCAATATGCAATACCAATTTCTTACTATTAGCCCATCGTTTAACGACGGGCCTAACATACTCGTTAGAATTATAATTATCAATAATGCATATGTACGTAGTACAACTAGTTAATACAGTTAGTAAAAACTAGAACTGTTGTTTTTTTTAGAAAAAAAAAAATTATATACTTATTTTAACGTTAAATGTTAAGCCATTTCTTTCCTAATATAGTAATATGATAACATATTAAATAAAAGCATATGCTTAAAGTATGTTTAGTGACATGCTTAATTTTCAAAATTTGTTATTTTGATATGTACGTACATACGTATATTGCAGTATTGATTTTAATTTTTTGCAATATTTGAAAAAATGAAGATCAGGAACCTTGTACGTATGTTTCAGAAATAGAAATTTTTATATTAAATTAATCTATTTTAGAAAAAAAGCTACCAGATTACCGTTAGCTTCAATTTTTAATCTAGAATTCAAATTTTATACACTATATTGAAATACTTTATATAAGAATGCTTAAATTCTGTTTCTCCATTTCATTTGATTCAAGTCAATCTAATTTTTTTTTCTATCGTTTTTTTTTTTTTTCTCGAAAAAAAAAACTTATTTTTTTTTCTTAATCAAAAAAAATAATTTTTTTGCCAAGTTCATTTAGAAAGCAAAATGAATTCCATCATTAATATTACAATTTTATTCAAATTTTTATTTATCTATTTATTAATCCAAACATCAAAGAGTGCAATGCTTCCTGGAAGCTGGCCACCACTCGATAAACCACCACCAATAACAGCAAATTATACAGCACTTGTAAATCTAAACCAAGTTCCAAAAGCTCCAGTTCGACCTTCAAGCGACTCATGTCCTGATTCTAGTAGCGACCCATATTGTACTTGGAGTTGTACGAATTGTGTCCGTAATAAAACTGATTATACTACGTGTCCAAATTCGCAAGGTAAGTAATTTTATTTGTAGTGCGTAAAATTTGTTATTATTTCGAGATAATAATTTATTTTAATCATTTAGATTGGGGACTTACTTTTGACGATGGTCCAAGGTAATTATTATATACAAAAAAAATTTATTTAATTACATGATTAATTTCAATAAAATGCATTTATACTTAAGAAAGATTATTTTTTTGCCTCTACCAGTCCTTATACTCCAGCTCTCCTTGATTATTTAGACGCTCATAATATCAAAGTTACTTTCTTTGTTGTTGGTTCTCGGGTAGTTGAAAATCCCGATACCTTAATAAGAGCATACAAAAGTGGTAAGTTTAATTTTATCACCTTGCTTTCTTCATAATTGCATCAATTATTTATCATTATCATTTATAAATAAAGGTCATCAAATTGGCGTACACACATGGTCTCATCCATCTCTTACCACTCAATCAAATGAACAAGTAATTTCTGAATTGCAATGGACTGCAGCTGCTATAAAAGCTGCGATTGGTGTCACACCAAAATATATGCGTCCACCATATGGTGATTATGATGATAGAATACGTAGTATAAGCGATCAACTTGGTTATAAAATTGTAATTTGGGATAAAGATACAAATGATTGGCTTTCTGATGGTGATAAGACATTCAATTTACAATGGGTTGAAAGTAACTTTACTCAATGGGTTAAAGAAGGAAAATCTGGTCACATTTCATTGGAACATGATTTATATAAAGGTGCTGCTGAGCAAGGTCCATTAGTAATTCCTATCGTTACAAACGCGAATTATAATATTAAGCCTGTTGGTACTTGTTTGGGTGCCCAAAGCTTTTATTTAGAGGAGAATACCACAATACCTGTGTCGCCAAATTCTACTACTCCAGCTATTTCTTCACCTACAAACTCATACGCTCCAATTAATCTACCACCCAATCCAAAATCTCCAGACACTCCAACACCATCATCATCGTCTTCATTATCGAAAAGTACATCATTACCATTTGGTAAAACGTCTTTAGCTATAAAATCAAACAATTTTGATCATTTCTTATGGTCAATTATTATTGGTGCAATGCTATTTAATTTGGCTTTTTTTTAATAAATCACATGCGATCATGAGATAAATTACATATTAATTAATGAATGACAATATTTAGACATATGAAATTTTTATTATTTAAAAAGAGTTAATTAATTATATTTCTCTTTTCTTGATTATTTCTCTTTTTCATTAGACTTTAAATTTTCCTCAAATACATACGTAATACATTATCGATTTTTATAAATGATAATAAATTTAAATTTTTATATAGAAGTTGGGATTAACAAATTTCGAGCATTCATTTATTATAAATTCAATTTTTTTTTCAATCTTAAAGTTATTAAAAATTCGATCAGATTGATAGACAGATGTATATTTGATCTAGGCCAATTTATATGCTTTAAAATATGACGCTAAATTATTATATAAATTCGAATTTTTTTATAATTTATAATTGATAATTGATGAAATGTTTGATAAAAAGAACTTATACACCAATCACAATTTATATTTATAAATGAATTAAGTTTGTCTATTACTAATTTGAATAATTACGCACCTATAATATTCAAAATTATATTTCAGATCTATATTTAACTTCAGATAACGTAGTAACACTTCAATGAAATTTGACATAAATGACAGGTTTCAGATCGAGGCTTGGTCCTTATTGCTGGGGCCTTGAACCTGGTTTTAATTGGGTTTAACATTTCCAAGGTTGAACTCTAGATAAATTCTTGTTATCTGGCATGATGTGACAGATACATGGGTATTCGGCAGGATGATAGCAAAAGCACGTGGCCTTCGGCCACGTGCGTTGCTATCATCCTGTCGAAT